CCAAAATGCCGATAAACTTGATGGGCCTTTCTGGGTCCTGCAGAAGGCAAGTTCAGAGAGACCTTTCAGTCAGGCTGAGATATCAGAAACACTAAGACCAATCAAAACTTCACAACTCAGGAAAGTGTAATGTCCTCTTCTGACTCACCAGAAAGTAAAACAGTCCCCTGGCCCTTAGGGGCAGCCATGGCTAACTGGTCAAAAGTCATAATCTGGCCTCCAGATTTCAGGATGCGTCGGCGGGCTCCCTGTGTGACTCTGAGGGCACAAATCTGGAGAAGAGAAAAAAAGTTTACAACGTGAGAATCCTCAAAAATTAAAAAAAAACAAGCACAGGCAGCCCTCATTAGCCATGGGGATCATTATTTTTATTTTTGTCCCAACTTTATTACTTTAATAAATCAAGGCATGAATATATCTAATACTCCTTCCTCCTCCTATTTTCCCCACAACGACTTTGTGAGGTGGACTGGACTGAGAGTGAATTAATGACCCAGCTGGCTTTTGTGCCTTTGGTAGGATTAGAACTCAGTCTTCTGGTTTCTAGCATGGTGCCTTAACTGCTACACCAAACTTTTTCCACATTTGGAAAATATGAGACCATGTTGCGCGAGGAAAAAGTTTTATGTATTCATGTTAGATTATTTTGCATACAGATAAAATGGCAGACAAGCTTGTGCACATGAATAACATTTTTTACTGTTTCCTTTATGTAACAGATAGGAATAGAACCCATGCAAATGATAAAAGACATTTTTATTTACAATCTCACCTACATCTCAGTTGTTGTAACTAGGAATGAAATACCTTTAATAAATTGACTACAATGAGACAACTCCATGATTAGTCAGGAAGCTAAGGTTCAGAATATTAAAAATACCAAGAAAAGTATTCATAAAAATTGCATTTATGCTTTGGATAGAACCAACAGCAAAGTAGTTTATCTAAAAAAACAAGCATTCTCTTTCTGAAGTGCAAAGCTTTGATCAATGATTCATCAAACTCAATTCAGGTGTTCTTCTGATGGATAATTTATACTATAAATATTTACTGAAGAGATACACCATTTTTTGCATACAGTTCTGTATTTACTGTACACTTCCTATATATAGCATTTTCCTCTAGTTTATGAAATCTGAGCTGTCAAGAAACCTGTCGCCTTGCTCTACATCTCCTCCCATCTGAAGAGTCATTCTCCCACCAGTCAGGATACCTTCAGTTTGGGAATTTCCTGGATGCGAACATCATCAGTCACTGTTCCCACCACAACAGCAGTTTTGTTTTCCCGCCCTTGGAGCTTCATTTTACGGATCTAGAGAGTAAAAGATTGATCAAGTTAGCATACAAGTCCCGACCAATTTGCCTTTATCTACAGAGGTTTCATTGGCCCTTTAGCAGC